TTTTTTTTTTTTTTTCTTTTTGAGACAGAGTCTCTCTCTGTCACCCAGGCTGGAGTGCAGTGATGCGATCTCGGCTCACTGCAAGCTCCGCCTCCCAGGTTCACGCCATTCTCCTGCCTCAGCCTCCCGAGTAGCTGGGACTACAGGCGCCCGCCACCTCGGCCGGCTAATTTTTTGTATTTTTTTTTAGTATAGATGGGGTTTCACCGTGTTAGCCAGGATGGTCTCGAACTCCTGACCTCGTGATCCGCCCGCCTCGGCCTCCCAGAGTGCTGGGATTACAGGCGTGAGCCACTGCACCCGGCCTAAGTGAGAGGAATTTTCAAAGGCATCTGAACCCCTCAGAGTCTCTATAGGCAAGAGCCAGCCATAGAGGGGAGTGTGTGTGCACATGTGTGTATGTGTGTTTGTAAGTGTATTATGTATGTGTGTATAGATGTGGAGGGGCAGGGGTGTGGGTATCTGTATGTGGATATGAGTGTGCACGTGTATATGTGTGTTTGTAAGTATGTGTTTTTGTGTAGACATGGTGTGGGGGGGGGGGGGTGTGTGTGTGTTTAATGAGTCCAGGACTGAGGTTCAGAAATCCTGGGTTTTTTCACCCCATTACTGGATGACTTGGAACCTGTTCCTTTGCCTCCCTGATCCTGCCTTTCTTCATCAGAGAAATCAGGGGTGCTAGTGCTGTCACAGGGGTACACTGAGCTCGTACACTTGCTACTTGTACTAAAAACCCCACTGCCCTGTTCACTGAGAGGCAGCATTGTGATTACACGAGGCATGTGTGTCCCCAGCTTCTTGTGGCAGGAACCCCCTTGGCCATGTGCTTAACTGCACGAACAAGTGCCAGACAAGCCAGGCTAAGGCCAGGCTCCTGCGTGGCACCATCCACAGAGCACTGGCTGCCAGTTCGACAGAACACCTACTGACGTTGCCAGCTGGGCTCTGCTGAGGGACGTGGGTAGCTTCAGGAGAACAGGGAGAGCGCCCCTTCAGAGTTGATCCTTGTACCCCCATCCATGACACGGGCCTGCTTCTCTCCCCAGAAACCCTACATCTGCAAGATCCCAGGCTGCACCAAGAGATACACAGACCCCAGCTCTCTCCGGAAGCACGTGAAAACGGTCCACGGCCCAGATGCCCACGTCACCAAGAAGCAGCGCAACGACGTGCACCTCCGCACACCGCTGCTCAAAGAGAATGGGGACAGTGAGGCCGGCACCGAGCCTGGCGGCCCAGAGAGCACCGAGGCCAGCAGCACCAGCCAGGCCGTGGAGGACTGCCTGCATGTCAGAGCCATCAAGACCGAGAGCTCCGGGGTAAGCGGAGCTGGGCAGCCCAGCCATGCAAGGTGACTCCATAGCCGTGCCCAGGGCCACCCCGACCACAGTTGTGGGCTCTGTCCTAAGGCCCCACTCTAAGGGCACAGCGATGTCCCTCCTCTCTCCACTTGGCTTTCGCCCTTCACCAGCTTGGGCCTCACGTGAAACCTATCTTGTCCAGGTCCCATTCTGCTCTGACCAGGCTCCTGCTGGGTGTGTGCCAGCACCCTCAGTGACAGGGATGCTGCCACATACGGTGGGCCTGCACAGGGTGGGGGCGGCCCCTGCATGTCTGCCTTTCCAGCCAGCACCCAAGTGCCGCTGCCAACCCCCACCCCTCTGTCCTGTCTCTGCCTCCCCACCCCTCTGGCGTCCACTCCTTTTGTTCTAACCACCTGTTCTTTGTCTCCATCTCTTTTTCCCGACTGTACCTCCCCTAAGGATAGACGGTACTGAGGTGAGCCAAGGAGTTGGGTGTGTGTGGGTGGGATGAGGGAGTGAGGGTGGCTGGGGAGCCGGTCCATGCTGCTGCCTGGCAGAGACTCACCTGTCAGTCCAGGCCTCCTAGGCCCAGGCAGGTGGGCCCGGACAGGCACACACGGCAGGGCCCTGCAGGTGGGGCCATTGGCCTTGGCAGCCGGAGTGGAGCTGGCAGGTGTGGGGAGCAGGGGCGCCAGGCTGTATCAGGGACAGAGTGACAGGGAGGCATGCGTCCAGGCTGCAGAAGGTCCTGAGGGCCAAGCAGAGGAATGTGGATGCCACCGTGGACAACACCTAGAAGATCCCTGCTCCCATGAAGCTTGTATCCTCACGGGAAGGAAGATCGCAGCTTCCCAAGGAAGCTGAATTTGGGCCATTTGGCCTAACAATGAGCCCAGAGGTGGCGCATCTGGTGCAAGCCTCATCTGGGTCCAGATCCGAGTTCTGTGGATGTCGTCCTAGTGGATGTCGTCCGAGTGGATGTCGTCAGAGTTCTGTGGTATTCTGCACTGTACATGTGCCATGAGTTCCCTGCCCCACTCTACCTAACCCAGAGGGAAGGCTGCTTTGGGGTGGCCCTTTGCACAAGGGCTGCATCCCACAGGTCCCCCTCCCTGGTCATCCTTTCCCTTTCCAACAACCTGCCCCTGGCCTTTTGAGATCATCCTGTCTGGTTGAAGCCACCAAGTCAGCAGGTTTTCGTTCCTCACCTCATCAGGGCACATGGCTGTTGTTGGCAGTGTTTAAGTGCCTTCTTTTGTGCCATACTGGGTGCCTTCTGCATGCTGCGTGCTGTCCATCCATCCACTAACTGCACTGGAATCAGTTCAGGTCCATCTCTTAGTTGGAAGCCAAGGTTAAGAGAAGTGAAGTGACTTGACCATTTTAAGCAAACAGACTCATGATGCTTTACATGCCTCCAAGGGTGTGGTGCCCGTGCAGACCCTCTGAGTCTGTGCCTTCTTGCTTTGTCCCTGCAGCTGTGTCAGTCCAGCCCCGGGGCCCAGTCCTCCTGCAGCAGCGAGCCCTCCCCGCTGGGCAGTGCCCCCAACAATGACAGTGGCGTGGAGATGCCAGGGACGGGGCCCGGGAGCCTGGGAGACCTGACGGCGCTGGATGACACACCCCCAGGGGCTGACACCTCAGCCCTGGCTGCCCCCTCCGCTGGTGGCCTCCAGCTGCGCAAACACACGACCACCATGCACCGGTTCGAGCAGCTCAAGAAGGAGAAGCTCAGGTCACTCAAGGATTCCTGCTCATGGGCCGGGCCGACTCCACACACACGGAACACCAAACTGCCTCCCCTCCCAGGAAGTGGTGAGTGAAGGCCCGGGGTTTGCAGATGGGGCAAGAGCGAGTCTGGGGCAGCACCAACTAGGCTGGCACCCACCAAGCACCAGTGCTATCTCACTGGCTGCCTACAGGATCTTACCAGCCCAGTACAGTAAAGGAAACTGAGGCTCAGAGAGGTGAAATGCCTTACCCAAATCAATGGCAGGGGTGAGATTTAGCCTAGGTCTGTGTGGCTCCAAAGCCCATGCTCTTTCAACTGCACCATGCTGAGTTCCTGTAATCCCCCAAAACAAGCAGACCCTGGGCACATCATCCTCGTCCTCACCCAGTCATTCATTCACTGACTGGGCACTTGCTGTGGGCACCATAGCAAAGGCCCTAGGCAGGAGAGCCATTTAATTCCAGTCCCAAATAAGTGTATGGTTAGAAGGCTGTGCCACCAGACTCACACTCTACTGCAGAACGAGCCAGGTACCACCAAAGCCAGAGCTTAAGGTAGAGCTGTGCAGAGGAAGGAGAAAGCACATTGAGCTGGTGATGAGCCGGGAGGACTTCATGGAGGAGGTGGCGCTGTGCTCAGCCTCAAGAGGTGTTGGCCAGGCTCTGAGATAGAAGGCGTCTTTAGCGAGCATGTCTTGGGTACTGCCTCTGTCCTAGGATTGTGCCGGGCTGCCCACTGTGGTCGACACTGATGTACCACCTGCTCTCACTTGAAGGGAGGATTTGTTGTCCCAACTTGTGGGGACTACCGGTAAATGGCCTTGAACTCTCAGCCCCCTACAGGGATCTCCTGGGTTGCAGACAGATGCCCCACCCAAGGTCACCCCTTCCCATCAGGCCCACATGCAGTGACTGGTCTCTACAGAAGTGTAAAGGCCCAGCCATCAAGATGAGGCTCAGAGAGGTGCCCAACTCAGGGCAGCACTGAAGAGCCATTGGAGGTCCTGGGCTCCCTGTGAGATCCTCCTGGGCTCACTTCTCCTCTGCCCACTCTTGCAGCCTGTCTTTCCTTCCATGGGTATGGACCTCAGGGTACTCCCTGTAATAGCCTGCTCCTTAAACTCCATCTCAGGAGAGCCCAGGTGGCAACACCTCCACGGACTGTGAGATTACAGTGCCAGGAGACCAACCTGGGCCTTCCTGAGCTGCTCATCCCCTCCTCTGTGTAACTCAGTCCTATGGAGAGACAGATTTATCTACAGCTGGAGAAACTGAGGGCCAGAGAAAGGAGAATTCAAGGCGAGACAGGTAATGGTAAAGTTAAGATAGGGACTTAGGCCTCCTGGCTTCCCCTTGCCTACCCTTTCAATAAGTGCCACCATTTGTTTACTTATTGCTTTTTCCTTCTCCTTCTTAATTGAAAAGCCATCTGCTCACTGGGCATGGTGGCATACGTGTGCCCTAGCTAAGCCTCCAGAGTCTGAGGAGGGAGGATCCCTTGAGCCCAGGAGTTCAAGGCCAGCCAGGGAAACCCTGTCTCTAAAAAGAGAAAGAAAACATGCATCTCCTGAGTGTACTGTGTTCCAGGCCCTCTTCTCGGGCTCCAGGCCCAGTGCGATGACTGGGCATGGTCAAAGCAAGCAGCCACCCACCCTTGTCCCAGTGCTGACTCCTCTGCTTTCCCGCAGGCTCCATCCTGGAAAACTTCAGCGGCAGTGGGGGCGGTGGGCCCGCGGGGCTGCTGCCCAACCCTCGGCTGTCGGAGCTGTCCGCGAGTGAGGTGACCATGCTGAGCCAGCTGCAGGAGCGCCGCGACAGCTCCACCAGCACCGTCAGCTCCGCCTACACCGTGAGCCGCCGCTCCTCCGGCATCTCCCCCTACTTCTCCAGCCGCCGCTCCAGCGAGGCCTCGCCCCTGGGCGCTGGCCGCCCGCACAACGCCAGCTCCGCGGACTCCTACGACCCCATCTCCACGGACGCGTCGCGGCGCTCGAGCGAGGCCAGCCAGTGCAGCGGCGGCTCTGGGCTGCTCAACCTCACGCCCGCGCAGCAGTACAGCCTGCGGGCCAAGTACGCTGCGGCCACGGGCGGACCCCCGCCCACCCCGCTACCAGGCCTGGAGCGCATGAGCCTGCGGACCAGGCTAGCGCTGCTGGACGCGCCCGAGCGCGCGCTGCCCACCGGCTGCCCACGCCCGCTGGTGCCGCGGCGTGGCAGCGACGGGCCGACCTATGGCCACGGCCACGTGGGGGCTGCGCCTGCCTTCCCCCACGAGGCTCCAGGCGGCGGAGCCAGACGGGCCAGCGACCCTGTGCGGCGGCCCGATGCCCTGGCCCTACCGCGGGTGCAGCGCTTCCACAGCGCCCACAACGTGAACCCCGGCCCACTGCCGCCCTGTGCTGACAGACGAGGCCTCCGCCTGCAGAGCTACCCGAGCACCGACGGCGGCCTGGGCCGCGGCGCCTACTCGCCCCGGCCGCCTAGCATCAGCGAGAACGTGGCGATGGAGGCCGTGGCGGCAGGAGCCGACGGCGCAGGGCCCGAGGCTGACCTGGGGCTGCCAGAGGACGACCTGGTGCTGCCCGACGACGTGGTGCAGTACATCAAGGCGCACGCCAGTGGCACTCTGGACGAGGGCACCGGGCAGGTGTATCCCACGGAAAGCACTGGCTTCTCTGACAACCCCAAACTGCCCAGCCCGGGGCTGCACGGCCAGCGCAGGATGGTGGCTGCAGACTCCAACGTGGGCCCCTCCGCCCCTGTGTTGGGAGAATGCCAGTTAGGCTTTGGGGCGCCCTCCAGCCTGAACAAAAATAACATGCCTGTGCAGTGGAACGAGGTGAGCTCCGGCACCGTGGATGCCCTGGCCAGCCAGGTGAAGCCTCCACCGTTTCCTCAGGGCAACCTGGCGCTGGTGCAGCAGAAGCCTGCCTTTGGCCAGTACCCAGGCTACAGTCCACAAGGCCTACAGGCGAGCCCTGGGGGTCTGGACAGCACACAGCCACACCTTCAGCTCCGCAGCGGAGCCCCCTCCCAGGGCATCCCCAGGGTAAACTACATGCAGCAGCCGCGACAGCCAGTGGCCGGCAGCCAGTGTCCTGGCATGACCACCGCTCTGAGCCCCCATGCCTGCTATGGCCAAGCCCACCCCCAGCTGAGCCCCAGCACTGTCAGTGGGGCCTTCAACCAGTTCCCCCAATCCTGCAGCAACATGCCAGCCAAGCCAGGGCATCTGGGGCACCCTCAGCAGACAGAAGTTGCACCTGACCCTACCATGATGGGCAATCGCCACAGGGAACTTGGGGTCCCCAATTCAGCCCTGGCGGGAGTGCCACCACCTCACCCAGTCCAGAGCTACCCACAGCAGAGCCCTCACCTGGCAGCCCCCATGAGCCAGGAGAGCTACCACCAGGTCCCCAGCCTTCTGCCTGCCCGCCAGCCTGGCTTCATGGAACCCCAGCCAGGCCCGATGGGGGTGGCTACAGCAGGCTTTGGCCTAGTGCAGCCCCGGCCTCCTCTCGAGCCCAGCCCTGCTGGCCGCCACCGTGGGTTACGTGCTGTGCAGCAGCAGCTGGCCTATGCCAGGGCCACAGGCCATGCCATGGCTGCCATGCCATCCAGTCAGGAGACAGCAGAAGTTGTGCCCAAGGGAGCAGTGGGCACCATGGGGTCGATGCCTCCCCAGCCGCCTCCACAGGACACAGGTGGGGCCCCGGCCCACAACATGCTCTACTACTATGGCCAGATCCACATGTACGAACAGGATGGAGGCCTGGAGAACCTTGGGGGCTGCCAAGTCATGCGGTCCCAGCCACCACAGCCACAGGCCTGTCCAGACAGCATCCAGCCCCAGCCCTTGCCCTCACCAGGGGTCAACCAGGTGTCCAGCACTGTAGACTCCCAGCTCCTGGAGGCCCCCCAGATTGACTTTGATGCCATCATGGATGATGGCGATCACTCAAGTTTGTTCTCGGGTGCTCTGAGCCCCAGCCTCCTTCACAGCCTCTCCCAGAACTCCTCCCGCCTCACCACCCCCCGAAACTCCCTGACTCTGCCCTCCATCCCCGCAGGCATCAGCAACATGGCTGTTGGAGACATGAGCTCCATGCTCACCAGCCTTGCCGAGGAGAGCAAGTTCCTGAACATGATGACCTAGGGCCCCAAGCGCCTGGTGCTGAGTGCACCCAGAGGGGTCATCGCTGCCCAGAGCCTGGGGGTTCCAGCTGTTTTGTCTTTTTCCAAAAAAGTGTTAAATAGGCTTGAGGGGTTGTTGCGCAATGGCCGCTTCAGATGACAGATGTTGTAAGAGAAGGTTTATGGGCATCCTCTCTGGTCTTTTGGATTATTCCTCAGAACAATGAAAAAAGTCTCCATAGGACAGGAAGGAATGCAAAACTCATTCACACAGTGCTTTCCAGCCTTTGGTGCTTACAGGACCCGTCTGTTCTGGCTTCTTCAGGGCTGACAGCTGAGCTAACAAGGGATTACTTTGGCCAAAGCCTTTCCAAGGATATGCAGAAAGACGGTAGGGAGCATTTGGGTTTGAATCTGAACGCCATACTGGGTACTCTGCTCCGGAAAGATGAGCTGCTGCTTCTGCTACTTGGAAGGAGAAGGAATTCCTGATCCACCTGAATTCCTCTATGATCCTAACTCTTGGGGTCTCTAACGTCCCTTGTCATAGAGGAAAAACACAGATTATACCTGGAGGATTCAGAAGCACATTCTGATTCCAGGTTTGGTAGAGCTGGCTCTTCTACCCCATAAAGCCGAGTCTGGGACTGGCAGCCCATCCAAGTGTATATGAATGAATAAAGTATGTAAGTATCACCAGAAAAAGGAAAGAAAAAAATGTACTCCTCGGGACAAGCCCAGAAGCTGCCCTGGCCTCTTCAGACCGTGTTTACAGTGTTTGCATGTAGAATGTAGCCCTTCCTGAAAAGACTTGTTTCTAAATACCTCGGGGCTGCTGGAGCCACTGTGGGTTAGGGATAGACTGAGGCCTCGAGAAGTGAGGGTGCACCGGGGACCCAGCCTCAGGCCACCCTGGGGATCTCCCAGTAGGAAGAGGAAGTTGCATGTTTACCCAGTCCTGTTTCTCCAATGCAGTGTCCACCCACTTTACCACGAAAAACTCCAGGGCCTGACGGCAGCGCAGGCTCCCCTAGCACTCACCAGCAGCCCAGTGTTCTCCGCCAAGCCACAGTGTGCATGCCTGGTATCCTCCGGATTCCCTTCCTTCTGCCCACCAAGTCACTGGGCAGAGAATGATGACGTGTGGTAGTGTGATTGGGGGTAGAAAGGGGAAGGGGTTGATCCTCAGGACTCTGAGGGAGCATCATTGAATTTTCCTGTTCAGTGTGACCAAGACCCACCTGGAAATGGCTTCAGGAGACATCATTCCTGAACACACTGTAGGGTAAATTGGTGTGTCTTCCCCACCACACACACACACACACAGACACACACACACACACACCCCAAACATTTTCATGGGGAATGTGTGGCAACCTTGCCAAACAGCACCACTCAGAGTGTGACTCTGAATGCGGAACCTTTTAGGACAGTTTGAGGACAAGGCCAACATCATTATCTGGGCCCCCTGCGTCCCAGCACATCAAACTCTGTCCAGAGACAAGGCCAAGTGCAAATGAAAGCCAGGGAACATTGCTAAGGGTCTGTGGCTCTGTGGTGTGGTCATTACCTTCCTGAGATAGGATTTCCCTTGCCAGTCCCAACCTGTATCTATTCTGTACAGAAGACATCCCTGAATATACTGCAGGTGAGTCGTCCAGCCAAATTTATATCTCCAAAACATTTTTAGCTTTTTCTACATGCTATGAATTGAGATGACATGTTCAACTTGTAAATAAGTCTTTTTGTACATTAAAAAAGTAATTTTTTCATAATCTATCTTGTCTATCTGCTTTTCCCTTGACAGTAGTTAATGAGAACCTGGGCAGTAAATTTGCTGCATTCGAGCAGAAATTAGGCTGTATTTTTTCTTAACAGTGTCAAAATTGACTATCCCGCCTTTGCCAAGAAATGTTTAATGCTGAGGCATTTACTGGCTGTTTGTTTGTTGTCTCCTTGGGACTGGGCAGGGTCTGACATTTTACAGTGAATATCTGACTGCTCCCCTGGTGAGCTGCTCTGAACATCTATATGTATTGCAGACCAGGGTATAGACCCAAACACTCCTGGGGTCAGAACCCTCCCTTTGGTGGGTGCTCTGATGGAGCACATTTCATCAGGGTCGGGTGGGGTGAGATGGGCAAACCCCCAAGGCTCTGGTGCAGGTAGAATGAGTCAGGGTAGGCAGGTGGCACCTCCAGGATGCCCATCAGTTGGCTTTGGCAAAGGGGCCCATGGGGAGCAACCATGAGCAGGGGCTCTGAGCTCTAGGGGGCTGCCCAGCAGGTGGACAGGGAGAGCCTGGGTCCAGCGGGCAGGCCAGTCAGCTGGTGGCCCCTGCAGTAAACCTCAGGGAGCCCTTGAATGAGTCATGAGGCCCCATCTAGGGGTAGGGCCAGAGACAGGGAGCAGGGAGCAGAGCCCCAGGACTGAATTAGAGGGGTAAGAGGGCACCTTCTAAGGACCAGGCATGCTGGGCCTCTGAACACCCAGCCCAGACCCCTTTATCCTCTCCTCTCCAGGAGAGAAGCCTTAGCACGCAGGTTGGGCAGTGTGGACACCAAAGCCACATGGGACATCATCTTTGCCTGGAAGGCACGAGACACATGGACTGGGGAAGGGTTTTGTGGTCAGACACTTGCAGGAAACCCCCAAGGAGAATAGAATTGAGCAGGTTTCCTTTCCACAAGCATCCCACAGCCTCCACTGTGCATCAGGGAGCCGCCACTTCTCTGGCCAACATTTCCTAGCGGAAAGGCCCCTCTCCCCCGTCTCATCCCCAAGGAGCAGTGTCGCTCAGCGAGCTCCTGGGGAGGAAGTGAACGCGCACAGCTCTGCCCTTCCCTCCTCTTCTTTCCAAAGCCCACTTTCAGGGCTCACACCTTTTCTGCCTCACCACTTGTTAAGCCTCTGGAAGCAGCTCTGCCCTACTTTGTGGCGAGGGTGAGACCTCATGCTGTTCAGTGCCACCTGAGGTTGGATGAGCCACAGTGTTAAGAAGGTGGCCATTCAGACAAACCATCTCCTCTGGGTCAGGTAATGACGTCCACAGTCGCGCTGTGTAATGACATCCGTGAAACCCCAGCACCGTATAACAGTAAGCATGTAGTTAGCTCACGAACCCGAAGGTCTGAAGGTTGGCTGCCCCGGGCCGGGCTTGGCTGGGCTGTCTCCATCTGTGACTCAGCTGGGGTCAGCTAGTCTAGGTGGCTTGGCCTTGCCCAATGTGACTTGCATCTTCCTCCCAGGACCAAGACACTAGCAATGACAGAAGCACAGGAGGGCAAGCCAGCAGCCGTAGGTCCCCAAAGCAAGTCACGTGGCCAGAGCCATCACCTGTGCAGTGGGGAAGGGTCCTCCTGTGGAAGTGAGCGGAAGAGAGCAAATAGTTCCCAACAGGAAGCCAGTCTACCACAGCCTGCCTTCCTAGAGACAGTGATTCATGTTCCACATGCAGAAAATACCCAATCAACACCCCCAGGAAAAACAAAAAAAAACTCTCCGGTCAGACTTAGACTTCAGGCTTAAAGCCCAGGATCTTGTGGTCTATGTCTGGGTGTGGTTCGTCTCACCAGCTAAAAAGACAAGTTTTCTGCCCCTCACATCCTGCACATACACCCAACATACAGTGGTGGACCAGGGCTAGAGTAACACCAATGAACACTCCCATCTAGAAAGGGAGATTGAGGCACACAGCAGTCCCTGGTTCAGGCATCTGAAATCCTGCTGGACGAATGCTGCAACGCCCCTGCTCTGGGGGTGGGATGTTCCCTGAGTGGCTCCCAGGCCATCGTGATCCACAGTTCTGCCTTCCCCTGCTGGGGCCTTCTTCCTTTTCCATCATCCTTTCAACTTCTGATGAGGATGTTGGAAAATAGTCCCTTTGGCAGTGGAGTAACTTTCAGCGTCTTCCTGCCTGTAGGAAGTTGGGAGCCTAAGGTTCTTTAGGTTCAAACCGTCTCAGTTTTCTCTGAGTCCTGGGCGATGCCTTTGCCCAGGGCGATCTCTCAGGCATCTCATGAGTTTTCTATGTATTCGACAGCAGCCCACTGTGTGTCAGAAGCCACACCCAAATTCCTTTAGCAATATGCCTCTCTACATTTGACAACGTGTACCCCCACATCAGGCTGTTGTGGGCCACACCCTGATAGTCTGCAGACACCCTGTCGTTGTTGAAAGGATATGCTTGGTGCCACCTTATTCCTTGCAAGGACCTGATGACAAACAGCATTACCATTAAGGGCACATCCCTGATGTCATCTCAAATCTGAGACATGCTTCACCAACATAGCCCTAGATCTAGTCTTTGCTTCCCAGGCCAGATATGAGGTTGGTGCAACAATAATTGCTTTTATGCTGCAATTATTATGCACCAAACTAATACTAATTTGAGGACGTTTCACTGGCTGGAGAGCCTGGAGATGGGAAGTGATTTTGTTTTCTAAATTCTGCTTGTACACTGGCCAGTTCCTTTCTGAACTCGTCTTTTACTTGTAGAACCTTATCATTTGCAGCTCAAAGAAGCCCATGTGTACAGTATTCTGCCTGGAAACCATCCTGCCCAACTCCACTAACTCATAGTACATTTTCTCCCTCCCAAAGTATCATAGGCAATAATTTTACCAGATGTTTCTCCACCACATAACAGGTCACCATTTTTCTTGCCATTTTTCCCAACCGCCTCTGTATTTCCTCACTGCCCAGTTCCAAACCTCTGCTACGTATTTTAGGAGCAGCAGCCTCCGATTCTAGGTACCGATTTCAGAATAAGTTAACTGCAGTCCAGTAGTGCTGTCTAATAAAAATGCTTACAGGCCGGCTGCAGTGGTTCATGTCTGTAATCCCAGCACTTTGGGAGGCTGAGGCAGGCGAATCAGAAGGTAAGGAGTTTGAGAGCAGCCTGGCCAATATGGTGAAACCCCGTCTTTAATAAAACTACAAAAATTAGCTGGGCGTGGTGGCATATGCGCCTGTAGTCCCAGATACTCAGGAGGCTAAGGCAGAAGAATCGCTTGAACTCAGGAGGTGAAGGATGCAGTGAGCCGAGAGCGTGCCAGTGCACTGCAGCCTGGACGACAAAGCAAGACTTCAAAAACAAAACAAAATAAAAAAAATGGTTACAACAGGAGGCATCTGTTTAGTTCCTAAGTCTGGGAGTCAGCTGAGGTGGACTTAGCAAGGCTGGGCTTGCTGGAGCAATTCAGCTGTGCTGCTGTGCCACTCCTCCCTCAGGACCAGAGGATTGCTCGGACATCCATCAGTGACAGCAGAAGGACAAACAGGCAAGAGATAACACAGGAGGCCTCTTTGGGCCTAGGCTAGGAACAGGAAGCAAGGCATATGGCTAAGTCCCAGGTTGGTGGAGCTAAGAAGCTCACTTCTATACAATGAGGGGAGACAGGTATCTGAGCAACAATCCAGACCAGGCATAGTGGCCCAGGCCTGTAATCCCAGCACTTTGGGAGGCCAAAGGATTGCTTGAGCTCAAGAGTTCAAGACCAGCCTGGGCAAAATGGTGAAACCCTGTCTTTACAAAAAGAAAACAGCTGGGCATGGTGGCATGCACCTGCAGTCCCAGCTACTCAGGAGGCTGAGGTAGGAGCATCACCTGAGCCCAAGGAGGTGGAGGCTACAGTGAGCTGTGATGGCACGACTGCACTCTAACCTGGGCAACAGGGTGAGACCCTGTCTCAAAACAAACAAACAAACAAAATCCAACCTACCACATCCTCAATCCAGCTTTTATAACAGTAAGACCAACATTGCACCCTCCATCTGTCTGCTGAGTCTGTATTTTAGATGGTTCTAAACCCAGAAGAAGTTAGCTAGGTGTAGTGGTATGTGCCTATAGTCCTAGCTACTGGGGAGGCTGAGGCGGGAGGATTGCTTGAGCCCAGGAGTTCACAGCTGCAGTGATTGGGCCACTGTCCTCCAGCCTGGGCAGCAGAGTAAGACCCCAGTTCTATAAAATAAAAAATAAATACACCCAGAAAAGGATAACAGTAGGGGGGTTCTTTTTTCTTCTTCTTTCTTCTATCTTCTTCTTTCTCCTTCTCCTTCTTTTTTCTTTTTCCCCTTCCTCTTATCCTCCTTCTCCTTCCCCTCCTCCTCCTTCCCCTCCTCCTCCTTCTCCTTCTCCTCCTCCTTCTCCTTCTTCTGCTTCTTCTTATTCTCTTCTTATTGTTGTTCTTATTTATCTCTCTCTCTTTCTCATAGGAGGGAGTGATCAACTAACGGGGAAGGGATGAAAGATCAGAATGATTTGAATAAGAAAAAATATCTGGTTGGGAGGAGGGAGAGGATCAGGAAAAATAACTGAACGGTACTAGGTTTAATTGGGTGATTAAATAATCTGTACAACAACCCCCCATGATACAAGTTTACCTATATAACAAACCTGCACTTGTACCCTTGAACTTAAAATAAAAGTTAAAAAAAGAAAAAGGATCTGATTTAGGTTTTAAAAGATTAATAGGAGTTCATCTGAGGGGACTGGAGATTTCTCATCAGAAACTATGAAAGCCACGAGTAAGTGAAATATTTTTAAAGTGTTGAAAGAAAAGAACTGTCAACCCAGAACTTGTTATTCATGAAAATATCCTTGGTAAAATAAACACTGTGAGATAAATGGACATTCTCTGATAAAGGAAAACTATGAGGGTTCATTGCCCATCGACCTACCCTAAAAGGCAAAGGGAAGGGATCCCAGAAGGAAACGTGGAGCATCAGGACTGGAGGAAGAGCAGCAGAAGTGGTAGGTGTTTGCATGAATACAGTAGACTACTCCTACCTCTTGGGTTCTTTAAAATATGTTCAACAGTTAAGAGGAAAAAAGTACAACATTGTTTGATGGAGTTTTCCATGCATGTAGGTGTCATAAAGACAAGTATTACATAGGTGGAGAGGGTTAAAGACCTGTATGGGGTTCT